GAGGGGGCCGTTCTCCGCCGAGGGAGAGGGAAGCTGGGATCCCCGAGGGTTCGCCGAGCAATGGGAACAGCGACCATCCCCTCAACCTTTCTATTTCTCCTGCAGCCGGTGGACTGCAAAAGATCCTCGCCTCCTCCGAGTGTCCATTATCAACTTTTTGGAGCAGCTTTCCCTGGTGGTGCGAACCCTGCGGCGCTTTGGGCCCCCGGTCTCCCGCTGACACAGACTAACTAAAGGGCCTTGAAGCCGCAGCTGAAGGCCTGTACCCTCCAAGCAATGCATTCAGCCAGAGGGCACTTATGCCAGAGAAGGAAGAAGGCAGCTGGACGTTTACTACATCAACTCCACGTGCTCAGGGGCCACTCCTTTTGTTTGCTGTTTAAATGTTTGCTGGCACCGAGAATAAAACTCAGCTGCTCTTCCCAGCGTCCCATTCTTTGCACCTGTGGCGCCTCCAGATTGCCTCGCCATGTACCGTGAGGCACAGGCCACCTTGGTTTTGTCCTTAAGATTTACTTGAAAGAGATTGCCGTGCTCTGCTTAACTTCCCAAGCACCTGTAATGGTCAGGGCCAAGAATTCTATCTGGGTGTCAGACAAGGATGGCAAGGCCCCAAGTGCTTGGACCATTAGCTCCCATCTCCCAGATGCATTGGCAGCAGGCTGAATCAGAAGCATGGAGTACGCTAGGCACTGTAGTAGGGTATGTTATGCTGGTGGTGGGGACCCCTCAGTCCTTAGCAGTCAGTTCGAATCCTAGCTACTTTGCTTCCAATCCACATTCCTTCCGGTGTCTGCTCGGAAGCAACAATGACTTGGCTGTCTGCCACGCACACACCACACACATAGGCATTTAGAGAGTGAACCGGTAGATGGCACATGACACCTGTCTTTGGCCTGTCAGTCTTACATTGGTGCTGGCTTGAGTCCCAGCTGCCCTGCTTCCCATCCAGCTCCCTGCCTGTGACCTGGGAAAGCAGTCGGGGGCGGCCCAAGGCCTTGGGACCCTGCACCCACGTGGGAGACCTGGAAGAGTGTTGCCAGCCATATCTGTATGTACTGGCTACATGCCGTACCCAAAATGGCGCCGGCCAGAGAAGCCACATCTTGGTGTTTGGTGGAAAGTCACGTAGCTTTCGCAGTACTGCGCAGGCGCCTAGCGCATGCGCAGTGAGCTGCGGCGCGGCAGGCACGTAAACACTGGGACTGACGAATCCAGTCGCCCAGAACCCTGCGTAATCATGACGCCGACCTATCATCGGCGGAGGCGGGGCCAGACAGCACATAAGAGTAGAAAGCCTGCCGGGATCCGAGCCTCCCTCCTCTTCATGTTGGTGTGCACAATAAATTTTACCGCAGAAGGCTTCGCTCGCGTCTGCGTCTTATTGCTGGGCGGTAAGACACGTGGGCGCGACAGAAGAGCTCTTGGCTCCTGTCTGCAGATTGGCTCAGTTCTGCCATTTGTGAGCATTTAGGGAACGTGCCAGTGGATGGAAGATCTGTTTCCCCTTTCCTCTAATTCTGCTTTTCAGATAAATAAATTTTTTTAAAAATAAAGATTCTTGTGGGGCCCGGGGTGGCCTAGCAGCTAAAGTCCTCGCCTTGAACACACCGGGATCCCATATGGGCGCCAGTTCTAATCCCGGCAGCTCCACTTCCCATCCAGCTCCCTGCTTGTGGCCTGGGAAAGCAGTGGAGGACGGCCCAAAGCCTTGGGACTCTGCATCCATGTGGGAGACCTGGAAGAGGCTCCTGGCTTCAGATCGGTATAGCATCGGCTGTTGTGCTCACTTGGGGAGTGAATCATCGGACGGAAGATCTTCCTCTCTGTCTCTCCTTTCTGTATATCTGCCTTTCCAATAAAAATAAAATAAATCTTTAAAAAAAAAGATGCTTGTGGGGGCTTTTTAAAAGAGTTATTTATTTGAGGACCCAGCACTATGGCCTAGTAGCTGCTTGAAATCCGCCGGGAACCCATGTGGGCACTGACTTGTGTCCCAGCTACCCCACTTCCCATCCAGCTCCCTGCCTGTGGCCTGGGAAAGCAGTCGAGGACGGCCCAAAGCCTTGGGGCCCTGTATCCACGTGGGAGACCCAGAAGAAGCTCCTGGCTTCGGATCGGCTCAGCTCTGGTCATTGCAGCCACAACCATCAGACAGGAGATCTTCCTCTTTCCTCCCTGTAAAGCTGTGTTTCTAATAAACATAAAATTTTAAAAGAGGTATTTGAAAGAGTTAGAGGGAGAGACAGAGCAAGGTCTTATATTTTCTGTTGCATTTTCCAAATGGCTACATTGGCCACGCCAGAGCAAGAGCCAGGAGCTTCCTGCAAGTCTTCCACGTGGGTCGCCGGATCCTGAACACATGGTCCATCCTCGTTTGTTTCCTAGGCATATTAGCAGGGAGCTGAATCAGAAGTGGAACAACCAGGACATGAACCAGTGCCCACATGGGATGCCAGTTACGCCACAATGTTGACCAGGGATTTGTTTTAAAGCTGGGACTTGAAGCAGTACTGTGATATGGGGTCCGGGTTTCCCAAGTGACAGCTTAGTCTGCTGTTCCACAGTCAGTGTCGCTTTCTTCTCCATCTTAACTAAGCAATCATGTACTGTGGTCATGCGTTTTACAGTTTGAGATGTAACAGCAAAGTTGGCACAGATTGCTTTTTTGTAGATTTGTATTTATTTGAAAAGTACAGTAACAGGAAGAGAGATCCTCCATGTGCTAGTTCCCACTGCCAGTGGCCACGAGAGCCAAGGCTAGGGCAAGCCAAAGAAGGAGCCAGGAACTCCATCTGGGACTGCCACATGAGTGGCAAGGGCCCAAGGAATTGAGTCATCACCCACTGTTTCCCAGGTGCATTATCCGGGTACTGGATCCAAAGCAGAGCAGTCAGAAGCTGAACCAGTGCCCCAGTAAGGGATGCAGGGATGCAGGCAGCAGCTGAGCGTGCTGTACCACACCTGCCCCCTCCACAAGTTTCTTTTCACAATCTCAGGTAGAAGGTTGATGCTTACAGTAGATCTTAGCAACCTTCCCATATAGTTTTTGTTCCCCCTTTCCTTTTGAAGTAGTTTCATGTTTTCACTTCAAGGAAGAGCTTTCCAGCTTCTTTTTTGGCTTACCTAAACTGCCAGTATGACTCTTCTCTGGCTGTTCAATAAAATATGAGCCAGTTGAACACAGGCACTGAGGTGCCTCCTAGGTGATTAGCAGACTGGCAGTGTATACCACATGGACACGCTGCACAGGGTGCACATCCTGGGGTTGGAGCAGGAAGGCGGAAATTTCATCCCACTAGGTAGAGCATGAGCTGCTTATTGCAGGAATTTTCGTTTTACTGTTTTTGGACTCCAGTCAATCCCAGAGCAACTGAAACCAAGGAGGCAAGAGAAGAACTCTATCCACTACTTACTTTTTTAAGGCTTATTTATCTCAAAGGCAGAAAGCAGGAAACACACACACATCTTGAATTCACTGGTTTGCTCCCCAAATGGCTGCAACAGCCAGAGCTGCACCAAGCTGAATCCAGGAGCTAGGAGCTTTATCTGGGTCTCCCATGAGGGTGCAGCAGCCAGCCTCTGCTGCTCTTCCAGGGCTTCAGCAGGGAGCAGGATACAAAGAACAGCAGCTGAGACTTCAGCTGGTACCCATATGGGATGCCAGTTATGCAAACAGCAGATTTACTTACTATGCCACAGTGACGACTCCACTAAATTTTTAAGGATCTGCATCTGTAGTATACAATTGCTCTCTGAAAAATATACCCTCTCATCCTGTCACTGATATATCAGTTTTGTGTCAAAAGTATAAATGTTTGCATTAGAACAAAATTGAGAACACTAGGGTTTGTGTGCCTTACTGGCATTAGACTGCTGCAGGGCGGGAGAGACTCCTGGGACAATTGGCTAAAGAATTTGGAGAGGGAGCTGAGGCTGTGGTGTAGCAAAGTAAGCTTCTGCCTGAGGCACCAGCATCCAGTATGGGTGCTGGTCTGAGTCCCAGCTATTCCGCTCTGACCCAGCTTCCTACTAATGCACCTGGAAAGGCAGCAGAGGATGACCGAAGTACTGGTCCTTGCTTCACACCAGCTCTCTGTCCCACAGCCTAATAGTCTCGCAGCTCTTCTAAGGCTGCTGTCCCATTCTCCACATGAGCCTGGCATCTTACCACTGGCCACTGAGCCTCTTGCTTTACACCCTGGATGCCTTTCAGTGCTCTGTGCCAGCATCATGCCAGGTGTCATACCTAGAGCCACTATGAAACACCCTCTGCCCTTCTTACCGTCTCTTACCTTCTCCTTCCTTCTGAGTTGATTCATATTTTATAGACATCATTGCTGAATTAGCCAAGAATTCTCTCTTGCTCTGCTAACCCTCCTCATTGTCCCATTCCTCAGGCATTGGTCCCCCTCGCCCCATGGACAGCATTCCGCGGCATCTCCCTTTCTGTGTGCTTGGCTGCTTCTGACCTCTCAGCCACGATTCTGGGACCTCCCCCTTGGCAAGAACTCTAACCCCAGCCAGAGTGTCACGTGCCTAGATCTTTGGTGTTTCCTTCCTTGTTTTTGGCCAAGCGTGCCTTACCCCCTTTGCCCTGCTTGCACAGGGTGGGGGCTGAGGTTGCCGTGCACACCTGATGCACACATGAGTGAAAAAAATTAGGAGTTACCACACGCGAGGCATTGGGTGCTCCACCTGGTCGGGTGTCAGGGAGGATCTCACTGTCCCACACTGGCACTGGGCTCTGGGGGCAGGGGCACAGGGTGGGAGCAGGGCCTGGCATTCAGACAAGGGGAGCGGGGAGCAGATTCAGAGTACACATCCCAGGTTGAGTTGCTAGCCATTGCTGATGCCCATGCTCCCAGTCTCGCGCCGATCTTTAGCAAGCAACTGATCTACCTCATGTCACACACACACACACACACACACACACACACACACACACACACACACACACACACCCACCCACCCACCCACCCACAAAGCCACGCAGGACTCTTGTTTCCCACCTTTTAATTAGGAAAAGACATTACATGAACAAAGGAAAACTCATGCAGTGGCAGAGTGGCAGAGGAAAGACCTGGGAAGCACAAAGAGGGCCAGTTGCTTGGAGGAGGCAGAAGACACAGAGGGTAAGGCCTTGGCCCCTCGGGGTGGGCACAGGACAGGGCAGTGGAGGCCGACAGGGTGCAGGGTGGACACAAATGACGCTGAGGACATTTGGCAGTAGGGCCAGGCAAAGCCCTGTGTTGGAGCCCTGGGCCAGACCCCGCCCCAAGCCTGGGCAGGAGCCTGCTGGTGCTCAGATGGATCAGAAGGGAAGGTCTGATTCCTGAGACACTTGGCCGGGGACAGCCCAGGCCAGGGTGGCACAGCCAGAGCCTGTGAGCAGCTTCGGGTGCACCAGCACCGCCTCCCCTAAGCCCACCCTGGGCCTCTGCTGCTCAGGACAGCTGCGGCTGGCCATGGCCAGGGGCAGGGGTTAGAGAGCGGGCCCAGGCCAGCACTGTCACAGAGGAGCCAGCACGAGTGGCAGGCCCAGGACAACTCAACGGCAGAAGGTAAGTGACATTGGCAACATCCCCCGGGGCACGTTTTCACAGAGGGACACAGTGAGGACAGGTTCAATGCAATAAATAGGCAGTTGGGGCATAAATAGTAAGGGGGCGGGGCATCCATCCCCGGGGTGCCGGGGCTGGAGGGTAGGGTATTGCTGCTGGACGGGGGCACTCGGCCCGGTACCCCATCCTCCCACAGGGCCCAGAGCAAGGCACTAACGAAGGGGTCCCGGGGTGCTCATGGACACGTGGCCCGATGCCCTCCCCCACGACACCTGACCTGGGACTCAGCCTGGGAACCGCGCAGGGAGCATCCACTCCACATGCCTGCAGGACGGCCCCCGGGACAAGCCCCCTCGGCACCACGTCGGTCGTTCTTAGCTGTCGCCAGACACGAGGCTGATGATGTGCTCCAGCTTGTGGCGCAGCCTGTGCTTGCGACACAAGGCGTCTCGGTCCAGAGCGGTGAGGATCTGCGGGAGGAGGGGCCCCTGGGCCTGGGCTCTCGGGGAGAGGACGGTGCTCTCCGTGCCAAGCAGAACCCCCACTTCCCAGCTGGCCAAGCCTGGCCCAGCCCAGCCCAGCCCACCACCCTCGCTCCCTGCACAGCGCACAGCACAGGGCATAAATCCATCCCCTTCTGCTCTCCACAGTTGGGGCACGGTTCCTCCCAGCAGCAGCCTGGACCCCCTGTCCCAGGCCCTCCTGCCTCCCACCTCCCCGAAGCACAGTCTCCAGCAGGGGTGAGCAGACTTTGAGGACTATGCCGTAGTGACCCCTGGCAGGACTCTTCAGCCTCTCCTCTGGGCCTCACCTGGGCTGCAGGGCTGCACGAGGCATTCCTGGGGCTCCTGGGCTCCCTCCCACCCCTCCAGCTGCCCTTCCTGCCCTCAGAGCATCGCACGGGTCCAGGGCTCAGGCGCCTCTCCCTCAGCCCCCACCATGGCCTGCCATCACAAGCTTGTCCTCGCCTAGGCCCTCTGTGCCATGTACAGGCTTGCAGTCACCTGCCTGTGTCCCCCACCCTGCCCCAAGCTATACAGTACGAGCCGCCACGTCCCGGAAGCTACCTGCCTGCTGCTCCCACCACGCCTGTCCTCCCACTCCGGCTGATGAGGCTCCCGCTTCCCTTGCAGTTTCCCTGTGGCCCATAGAGGGCTGGGGGGTGGAGATCTTGAGGGAGCGGTGGCGGCTGCTTCTGCACCCATGAGCCTGTGCCACCTACAGGCTGGAGTTACCTCGGTCTGTTAGCCTGCCGTGCCCCACATCCAATCCCTCAGCCAAAAATACATCCTGAAATTCACACTTAGTCACAAAGCTCATGGGCCCTGCCCCCGTCCCTGAGCCACACACCTGCAGTTCTACCTGATACCCCAGCTCAGGAGGAGTTTTGTCCTCTGGCCACTGGCTTCACGTATAGGTCCCTCGAATTCAGAGATTACCTGTGCTGGGCTCCATGGCCCCATAGACCCTTCCAGCACCGCCATCTTCACTACGGGCCACACCCTTACAGCTGAGAAATGGGGCATGTGTGGGGGGAGGCAGCACACATACCTCCTGGCGATACTTGGTGACATAGAAGTAGAGCTCACTGAGTGCACTAAGGACATTGAAGTCACTGGCATGAAGGCGGGACTGCTCCACAAGGTAGGCGTCCATGTCCTGGTCACTGATGGACGCCATCTTGGAAATGTCCCGATAGTACCTGTTGGGATGCCGAGTTAGTCACTGCTAGAAGTCACCTTTGTCTCATCACCCGCTCTTCTGCTTCCTCTCAGGGCCCACCTCTCCACCCAGCTCTTGTAGTTGGGGATGTCCTTGGCATAGAGGAGCTTGTTGGAGGGCGAGTCCTTGCCCAGGCGGTGCTCGGATGTGGAGCAGGAGTCCATGAAGGTCTGGGCCACCACCGACAGGCAGGCGTCCGTGATGCTGCTCTTGTGGATGTCGAACACGAACTGCGGGTTCTTGATCACATTCACCCAGAAGCGCAGGGGCAAGCTGTATGTGGGGACACATGTGCATAGCTCCAAAGACGCTCCCAAGGCCCCTTTCATGACCACCACTCCCCTTCGGATCTTCTTCCTGGCTGGCTGGCTCATGCCATGTTCAGGGCAGGCAACAGCCTGTACCTGAGGTTTCCACTAGACTGCACGCAGAAATGATAGTGGAGGGCTGCTGCATTTCAGTAGCTGCAGCTTCTAATGTCAGCGCCAGGGCCAGAGCCTCGAGCATCCCTACCCTACAAGGCTGCCTCTCAGTACTGCCCTCACTACCAGCACCTCACCTAAGGCCTGGCACAATCACCCTCAACCACCCTCTTGGCTTGCTAGCACCACTGACATCAGCCTCAGGCCTGCCAGCCACCTTCTCTCCCTGCCAGTCACCCTGGCCCACAAGACTTGAATCCTGGCTAAGCCCCCAGCTCCTTCTACCTGCGTCCCCTCTCACAGAGAGGCCAACAGGGGCCTGGCATAGGGTAGTACCAGTTGCTCTTCCACGTGTGGCGCACATCAGGGTCACTGATCTGCCGCTGGTCTGCCTGCTCGTCCAGAAAATCAAACATGTACTTGATGGCCAAGGGCAAGGCTGAGCCCCGGTGGGCCGTGCTGAACACTGTCTCAAAGAGATCATCCACAAACTTCTGCAGCGTGCCCTGTGTGGGGACAGCCAAGCAGTACACAAGGCTCAGCAATGAGCGGGGCTGCCCCACAGCACTGGTACCTGGGAGCCTCACACTGGGCCCTGATCTCAGGCTAGGAATTGCCGCAGCAACGCCTGGCCCCCGCCACCTGTTGCTCCTTCCCTGGACAACCTTGGGGCCGGGGCCAGGGCCAGCTGAGAAGGCATCTGGGTAGGGGTCGAGGTACAAAGGGGAATGCCCCCACCTTGGTAGCCAGCAGGCGTGTCAGGTAGATCTCAGAGACCATCTTGCTGCCACGGTCCCCTTCCCGGTGGTCAGCATGGTCATGGTTTTTCACCAGGTGCCACAGCTTGGTGCCTGTCTCCTGGTCAGGTGTAATCATGGGTGCCCGCGAGCGGAGACTATCGGGGCTGCTGGCAGTGCGGAGTAAACTCTCTGGGGTGCAGGAAGGACAAGGCCCTTAGATCACCAGACTGCCACCCCCCTCGCTCCCCAGAGGCCAGCAGCCCACACAGACACTACATGCTCTTGCCACCCATCCCACTGCAAGACCCTGCCAAAGCCAAGAGCTCCTGAGTATGCAGTCCAGAGGGAGCCACCCACTTGGACAGCAAATGCCAGGATGCCTTCTGCAGTGGACGCCACTCTGCCTGGCCTTGTGACACCTACCATAGCGGCTGAGGGAGCGTGTGAAGGTGAAGGAATTGGCCATGTTATAAGCAGACACTTGTTTGGGCACCAGTGCCACCAAGGAACCATCTGTCACCTAGAGGCCACAGAGATAGAGAGGGAGCAGTGCAGGAAGCCAGGAATCCAAAGGGCCGCCACCCACCTGCAACCTGCGCACACGTGGGCGGCACCTGCGGTCCCGTGAGAAGGCCTTGGAAGTGTGGGAACAAGGGCCGGGGAGAGCCAGAGCCACCTGGGGGCACACAGGCCTGCAGCTGCTCACCTGGTAGTGAGCTAGGGAGTTGACCCTCTTCCAGTCACACTCGATCTTGGTCGTGACATCCTCGTCCTGGAGGATGATGCGGGCCATGCGGCCCTGGCGCCATTCTGTGGGCACAGACACGCCTGAAGCTTAGGGCCACCCTGCCGAGACTCCAGGCCCATTCTTCATGGAGAACAGGGCCCTGGTGGAGAGCAGCTAGACAGCTGAGGACCCACGGAGGCTGTGGGCATGAGCAGGGTGAAGGGAGGGCTGGCAGGAAGGAGCTGGAAGCTCACCCAGGTCCATGTCCTCCGCTTTGGGACGCTGCGAGTACGGGATGCCCTTGTATACAGTGTCCAGCAGCTTGTCCTTGGCCTGGGTGATGCTGTCGCAGTTGAGCACCTTCACTGGCACCTGGGCACTACCTTCGCTCTCCGGGCACACACAGTGCAGTGTCTAGAGGAGGAGGGGGATTACAGGGTCGGTCTGCGGTCCTCACCCCTTGTGCCTTCGAGGCCCTGTGCTCACCAGCGTCTTGTAGTCGATCTGCTGCCGGATGAGCTTGTCCTCGCTGAGGGAGTAGCGGGCCTCACCCGTGATGGCGTCGATTGGGCCCTTCTCCATCTGCTGCTTGATGGCGCAGTACAGCAGGAAGAGGGGCTCCCCTGCACACTCCTGTGGCCAGGTCAGAGCGCAGCCCATCACCTGCCTGACGCCCAGGGGTTCCCTGGCATCCCTCACCGCCTGCCCACCTCCCAAGCGTACCTTCAGGAATTTATGCAGCAGGAACGTGAACCAGTTAGTAAGCATCTTCTCAGCTACTGACTCCGTCCTAGGGCAGAACGGGGACCCTCAGGTGGACCTGGGAGAAGGTGGGGCTCTCTCTGGGGGTGGGACCACTCAGGCAACACAGCACACACCTGCGCAACAGCAGCTTCGGGTGGTTCTTGCTCTCCAGGTTTTTCTCTATGAGGTCAGCCAGCAGCTGCTTGAGCAGCCCCGTAGCATAATCAAGGCGACTCTGCAGGGCCACCATGGTGAGTGAGGCTACGGTGCCACGGTCACGCATCGAGAAGCTGCTCTGAGCCTCGAGTGTGTGAATGAAGGTGAGCACGAAGGCGCGGCTGTGCAGCAGCTGGCCAAAAAGGCGCAGGGCCTTCTCCACATTGGGGGGAGTCTGTTGGGAGTAGCGAGTGTCAGGAGGTGGGGCAGTGGCCTCAGGGGGACAGGGCGTGGGTGGGCCAGGGGACTCACATCCAGCTCCTTGAGCACAGGGTGGGCCTCAATGCCTGGGAACAGCACACGCACGGCATAGGTCCTGTAGTCCAGGAATGGGATCTGCACCCCATCCATGTGGTTGGTCAGCTCGTTGATGTCTGTCTGCAGCTCTGCAAAAGCTGGGAATGGGCGGGAAGGTGAGCAGAGCTATGCGGGAGAAGCTCCCTGGCTCCGCACCCCACACTGCACTGGGCATGCGCAGCCTCGGCACCTTCCTTGCACTCCAGGGCCACACGAGACTCCAGGTTGTCCATCTGTAGCTGCAGCCGTTTGAGTGTGCGATCAGCATCCTGAGTCTTGCGCTTGTACGCCACCAACACAGCGGTGATGGCCAGCAGCAAGAAGCCACCCCCTGCCGCCAGCCCCGCCATGGCTGGCAGGGTGAGGGCCCGCTCGGCTGAGATGTGCAGGGTGCCTAGCCAGAACTCCAGGCCACCTACCAGCACCTGTAGAGATGGACCAGAGTTGAGCCCATGCCATGCCCACCTGTACCTGCCCCCACCCCATGGACGTCCCATGTGCCACCTACCATGACAGGCTGCCGGCCAGTCTGGCTGGGCGAGTCACACAGCAGTTGTGTGTCTGACACGGTGAGTGCGCATGGCTGGCCTCCAATCAGCACTGTGTAGTTGAGGCGTGAGCTGCCAGCTGCGGCAGGGATCAGGTTCTTGCCCTTGGGGCAGAGGACATATGAGCCCAGGGCAGAGCGAATCCCTTCCTCTCCCCTCCCCCTGCTGACCTCAACCCACTGGCACCTTGAGCACCACATGGGAGCCAGGTTTGACGTCCAGGACACCAGAGGGCGCCAGGGGCTCAAAGCTGGGGTCCGGATAGTAGGTGAAGGCTGAGCGGTTGAGGGAGCGGGCTGTCTGCACGTGGTCCAACACGAAGCCAAATTCATCAGGGTGCTCACCTTGGGCCCGTGGCTGGGGCTGCCCCGGGAAGATGCCGGGGGCTTTACACAGCATGGCAGTGTCATTAATCACCTGGCACGTCTGTGGGAACAAGAACGGGCAGTGCAGCCAGGAGGCCATGGCCACGGGATCAGGTGGGTCGAGCACAGCTGGTACTCACGTTGGTGGTCTCGATGCCTCGGTACTTGGCCCGGACCCGGGGCTCCTGCACCGTGAGCAGGTGAGTGCCACTCACTGTGATCGCAGTGCTGCCACTGGGAAGAGGAGTGAGCTGCTCAGGCCCCTCCCGCGCAGGCCCCTCCCGTGCAGGCCCAGCCCTCCGAAGGCTCAGCCCTGCCCTCTGCCCGGGCACACGGGATGCGGGTTCACAGGATGTCCAAGGCTGCCCCGCCCGGCCGGGAGAGGCTTGTTCTCCCTGGAGCCCTACTTGATGATGCTCCAAGTCGGCTCGAGGCGGGTGACCGTGGGATCCTGGGTGTAGGTATAGATGACTCCGGGGCTGGAGATATTGGCACGGTCGATGGCAAGGGTGATGGGGGCCTGGCTGGGACCCAGTGTGGAGCCGGGTGAGACGCACACAATTGCCTCGGCATCTCTCCTAGTGGGCAAAAAGGGCACTTGGAGCAGGTGGGCCCCAGGGCTGCCTGCCTCCGCACCCCGCCCCCATGCACAGGCTGAGGCTGGTGGGATCCTGCAGCACCTCACAAACTGGCACTCGCCGTCTCTCACGGTCACTGTGACTCTGCTGCCAGCGTTCAGAGAGCTGCCAGAGATGGTGAGGCGTGTGCCCCCCGAAGCTGGACCCCGACTGGGACTCACACGGTCAAAGGTCGGTGTCTGGGGAAGAAGGAATGTCGAGGGGTGAGACGAGGAGGCAGCCCAGGCTGGGTGAGCAGGGGCTGGAAGGCACAAGGAGACAGAGCAACGCACCACAAAGCTGTAGAGCTGCTCAGACTGGGTGCGGAAGTCCACAGAGCAGTCACCCACACACAGCTCAGCAGGCCCGGGTGGCGGGCTGGGCACCAGGGACTCCTCCATCTCACACACGATCCTGGGGGTCAGAGGAGGTCACGGGCAGCCAAGGCCAAGGGCCCGGCTGCCCGACGCTCACACTCACCTCTCAGCACTGACATACTCAGTGGGGATGGAGTTGCAGCGCACGCCAGCCACCCGCAGGCCCAGCTCCCGAGAGGCAAGGCCCAGGTTCTCGCCCACGATGGTGACCCGAGTGCCTCCTTCCTTGGGCCCCATGAGTGGGTGGATCTGCACAGTGGGGCGGTAGACAAGGGTCAGCTCACATTCACAGGGACCCTGCGGGCAGGGAGGTGGGGCAGTGGGCTGACCTGGGCAATGCGGGGATGGCTACACCGGGCACCCTTCTGGCTCGGGTGCATCCAGTTGGTCTTGGGAGTTGGGCAGTGGGCTCGCAGCTGGCACTTGTGCTCTGAGATGCACCAGCCACAGTTGAAGCGGGGATCAGCCTTGAGGCAGAGGCCACAGCTGGGCCGCTGGGCCCAGCATTTGTACAGGAGTGCTGTGGGAAGAGGGAGCATGGCCAACAGGGCAGGCAGCAGCTAGCAAGCATGTGGTGTGAGGGCTGCACCCCTGCCCTGGGAGACCGACTCCTTAGCCCTCTGGCAGCCCTCACCTCGGAAGCCGGGAGGCTTGTCAATGGGGAAACCCCCATCCCAGACTACGGAGAAGTCCAGCTCAGTGTCGCCATGCTCCTCGCCTTCATAGGAGTACTGTGAGACAGGGCGTGGTGTGCCCCCAGGCACGGTGAGCAGGCCTCCTGCCCCACTCCAAGGTCTTTGCCAAACACCCCCTCCCAGACTCAAGCCGCTCCAGCCTGTGGCCCCCCTGGGCCCTGAGGGGTGGCCTGGGGCTCACCGAGGCATTCTGGCACTGCACGCTGCTACTGTTGAAACGCACGGCAGGCACCCGCTGCTGCTGCCCCTGCACGCGCACTACGCACTCATAGTTCTTCTGGCCCGACTGTGGCTGTGGCAGGTTCTTGGCCCGCAGCGTAAGGGGCTGCATGACTCCGACTGGGATGAGCAGGTCCCCGCTGGGCAGGAGCTCAGGGCAGCCCTGGGGGAAAAGCTCTTATCAGCTGCCCACTGGATGCAACCTCCAGACCAAGCTCGCCTACCTGCATGGAAAGGCTCAACGCAGAGGAGGAAAGACCAGGGCCCAGCCCACACACAGCTCAGCCCCTCCCCCAGCCCACGGCCCCTGCCTCACCTCAGGGCTGTGGACCCTGCCCTCCTGGAAGGAGCACTCGTGGGGGTGGCTGGTACACACGTGGCGGTACTTACACCAGTGGCAGGGATAAGCGCTGCCAACACATGACATGCACCTGGCAGAGGAGAGAGCCTCTTAAGCAGGAACAGAGCAGGTGCACTGCTCTCCCAGCCCGTCTGAGAACACAGTAAGACCCGCACCGCCCAGTGGGGTGTGAGCGGCTGGAAAGCCAGTAAGACCCGCACCGCCCAGTGGGGTGTGAGCAGCTGGAAAGCCAGCCTTACCTGGGCCCCAGGGCTAAGTACTCACGACTGCCAAACACTGCAGTTGTACAAGATAAAGTCGGCTCCGGCGAATATCACGCCTGTCTCCTTGGAGAGCAGCTGCAGGCGCACAGTGCGCGTGGCCCCTACGATGAGCCCAGGGAGGTCTTTAATGGGCCCGCCGCAGCAAGCACACCTTCCCCCAGACCTCAGCCACAAAATGCAGCACACTGACCATGCCCCCTCGTAAGTGCCTGGAGCTCCTGGAGAGAGGGGGAGGGGCAGCGTAGCTCCCCAGAGGGCAGCAGGACAGCCTCACTCTGTGCCACTTCCTCGAAGGCACAGCGCACACCTGCGCTGAGGTCTGGCACGTTGCGCATGGCTACAGTCAGCTGGGGGAGGCAGAGGGTTCAGGGCACGGCATACCCCCAGCAGTGCCCACACAGACCCCAGTGCCACTCCCTGCCACTCACCTGCACCCCAGGTGACGTTACTGACACGTTGTTGGGCCGGACACGCACCTGAACACACTTACTCAGCTCTTCCACAAAGCCGTGTGGTGAAGAGGCACCTGGACAGGCCCCCTCACGGCAGCACCTGCCAGAAGGCCAAGCTGGAGCCATCCTACCACTGCCCCAGAAAGGCCTGGGAGTGCTGGGGAGAGGGGGACGGAACGGGCAGCAGCCTGCCCAGCTCCCAGTGCCAGGCAACAGCATGACTTAGCCTCATCCCTTGGGGTCCAAGTGATGCCAGGGGTGGAGGTTCTACTAATTAGCTGCAGAAAGTACAGGAGGCAGGAGGAAGGGAGGAAGCAGCTGCCAGTGTGCAGCCAGGGGGAAGTGGGCATAGCAGTTGGCACTGGCTCGCACTCAGTGTGCCTATTCTTCCTGGAGCCCACCAGCTCTCCAGGCTAGTGCCCTTACCTGTGCTGCAGCACACACCAGCCACAGTGTGGGTCCCCTGCGCCCAGGCAGGCCTCACAGCTCACATACTGCTCGCACGTCTCCACTGGGAGCTGGCTCACCTGGGGACAGGCAGGCATCAGCATCCGGCCCCTGGCTGTCCCCACACCCAGCACTGCCCACCGTGGGCCCACCTGCTTCTCACTCAGGAGGTAGATATGCCGATGGTCAGGGCTGAACAGCAAGTCTCGTAGGATGGGGCTGCCATCCACCACGGGCACTGTTTCATACAGATGGGCGTCCTGGGAGCCATCAACCCGCACCTGAACCACAAGAACAGCCTGAGGCTACTGTGCCCAGGGATTCTCCAGGATGTGGCAGAGCCGCAGTCACAACACTTGGCGTGCAAAGCAATTGTTTCCAGAGGGGAGAGGCAGAACACCTAGGGTGGCCCTTAAGTCTGGAGCACAGGGGAGCAGGTGTGACGGTGCAGTTGAAGCACATTGAAAGTGTTCTGCAGTGAGCCAGTGCTGCCAACTGCACAGCTCTGGACTGTACACTGTACATGGCCGCAGTGGCCTGCACACCATCTTTCCCCACACCTCAGGGATAGCTCTGTGTCTGTCACTTGCCCCGACACCCAGGTTCCCAAGAGTCCAGCCCCACTTTTGTACCTGGCCAACCTCAGTGCCTACAAGTGCAAGAGCATATGAGGGGGGGCTATGGGGAGGACTGGGGGAATCCCAGAGCCTATGAAACTGTGTCATAAAATGAAATTAAAAATTTATCCATGCCAAAAAAAAAAAAAAGAACATATACGTGCACCAGGCTGGAGGGATGGGACAGGAAGAGAACTGGAGGTGAGTGTGTGCCAGAGCTGGGAGGCTCTAGGAGCAGGGTGGATGCAGGCAACGCTCCCAAGGCGAGAGCCTGCAGGGTTGTGTCTGCACCAGTGTCCTCACTTTTCTGGCTGAGACCCAGGCAATGAGCGCTCAGCCTGGCCCCGGCAGCCCAGGCCATTGTGCGAGCTGCACCAGCGAGGCTGGCTGAGTGGCTGCTAGGGAGCCTGGGGCCCCTAGGCCTTGTCTGCATGTTCCCACTCTCACAGCTTGTCCTGGGTCTCAGGGCTGAGCCCCCCTCCCCCCACCAAGGGATGCAGAGCCAACCTTCTTGAGCCTGCCGCTGCGTGTGCCGATGAATACCACAGAGTGCTGGTGGTAGGTGTAGGCAGCCACGCTGGCCATGCCATCAGTGCTGTCGGCCAGGAGGGGCAGCCCCTCGATCACGTGCAGGCCGCCCAGAGGCTGATTCAGCACCAGCCCACAAAAGTTGCCGTTGATCTGCATGGGCTGGCAAAACAGAGCAAAGTGACTGGGCCTACAGGTGCCAAGTACAAACCACCCACACAGAGGCCAGTGGCGCGCATGAGCACTAGGGAGCAGGGTCTAGAATGCACCAGTGGGTCTGACATCTTGCCTCCCAAACACCCTATCCCATCCCTGAGAGCCCCACGGGAAGGGAAAGCAGGAAGGGGCAGAACCTGGGCCCGGTAGGCCAGGACACGCTGGGAGGCTGCCACTGATTTGCAGGGCCAGGGGAAGATGGCAGTCGACCAGGTACAGAGAAGCAGGGCACAGCTGGCGGTGCGGGTGCTCACTGTGTTGATGCAGGGCATCTCCTTGTTGAGTAGCCAGGGCAGGGCCAACGTGCCCTCCCCGCGGTAGCATGACTGGATGCGACGTCGGATGTGTGCGTTGATGTTGCTGAGGGTAAAGAGGCAGAGGATGGTCTGGCGGGGCGGGCTGGCCCGGTTCTTCTGTCCCTGAGAGAAGATGGTGAAGAGGACGTCCTCGTCAGCTGGGATGCCCAGGGCCTGGGCCAGCAGCAGGCCGGGCTTGGCCAGGTGGGCACTCTGCACCAAGCGGTACTCCACGCCATGCCAGGAGCAGCCGATGGGGAACTCCACATACGAGTAGAACTCTGAGTCCCCTGCGCACATGCGTACGATCTTGGACGTGAAGAATTTCTCGCCTGCTGCGTCCAGCAGCGTCTGCTGGGTGTCGAGTTGCAATGTCAAGAAGTACACGAAGGGGGCGCTGGCGAAGCCGTAGATGTAGTAGATGTCGAAGGCAGGGTACAAGGACAGCGTGTCCGAGGGGATCTTGATCTGAGAGGACACAAATTCGTCCTGGTACACCTGCGGACCGAGCAGAAGGGACAGCGCGGGATGAAGCTCTCCTCCCACGCACAGTACACTGCCCCCCCAGCCCCGCAGTCGGGATGTGCCTGCCCGCCCACCCTGAGCCACTCTTCCACACGGCAGTGACAGCAAGGGCCGTACAGTGCTGTCTTTGGCCAGGGGAAGGAAAGGAGGGGAACGCGCCCCTCCGAGGGCAAGAGGAGAGGCGGGGCAAAGGGAGCGCGCGGCTGAGCAGGCGGACAGCTGACGCACCAGACTGAACATGTCGGCGCCGTGCTCATTGCCAATGAGCTTGCGGGAGCTGAGCGTAGGGAAGTACTCTGACTTGCCATCGACTGCAGTACCCACGAACAGTTTGCTGGGCCCCTGGCCCTGCTCCACGATGACGCCAGCCATGGAGTCGGGCTCCTGGGCCCCCGACAGGTAGTGCTCCTTGCGGTGGTGTGGCTCACCCAGCTTGAAAAGGTCGTCCAGGCGCAGGAACTGGCAGATGCCCTGCCACACGCTGCCACAGGCTACCAGGCGGCGTGCGGCATAGTCGATGAGCAGCAGCTTATTCACGTTGTCTGCAGGGGCCAAGCGATGGGCACACGCGCGCATGCTGGGTGGTGGGTAGCAGCGAGCATTGTCCTCGACGGGCCCAGTGACATGGGCCCGCAGCTCAGTCAGGTTAGAGGCAAGCTTGAAGACTCGGTTCACAGCACCTACAAACACCTCCCCCGTCACTCGATGCACAGCCAGGTGGGTGAGCGTGGTGTCTGTCACAGCAAAGGCACGGAAGGCCCTGGCGCTGCCCAGGCCCCCATCCACAGCGAGGGAGAGCAGTAGGAGGAGGCAGACAGTGGGCATGGCCGCCAGCTGCCCCTGGGACAGTACTGAGGAGAGAATGGCAATGGAAGACCAAGCTGTGCACCATCCTTGTGCGACGCCAGCGCACGGCCAAGGGCCGCGCTACCGAGGACGAGCCCCAGCCCCAGATGGTGACAGCAGCCGGGGAGGAGGGGCCTCCGCTAGGGCGTGGGAGTGAGCAGCAAATGCACACTGGCCGGGGGGCCATCAATCATCCCCCACCCCTGCTGCTGGGCCACACCCGGAGGGGGCCAGCAGAGGCAGCCGCGTGGGAGCTTCTCCCACAACAGAGACCCCCAACACCACAGCCCACAGCTGAGGGTGGAGAAAGGTGGGATGTGTGGTGGCAGTCGGGGCTGTGGTGCCACCACTCAGCAGCCCTGCCCCCAGGAGCCCTGGGACACGGGTCTGTTGAAGCCACGGTGGCTGCTGGCCCCAGCTGGCCCTGGCTCCAGGGTCCTCAACCGGCCTCGCCACTGCAACACAAAGCCGAACAAGTCTGCCCCCATAGCCATGCGCTGAGACCAGCGGAGGCAGTTCTGCACAGCTCTGCCGCGAGATGCAGAGGTTTGCTGGCCAAGGGAAGGTGTAGAGAGGGCGTCCCAGGAGGCTTGTGGAAAGGGAGTATAGTCAAGGCTCCGGGGAAAAGGGGCACGGACTACAGGGGCAGTGCTGCGATTGGCACTTGGCCCCTAGGCCACACCCAGCCAGCCCCAAGCTGCAAAGACAGCACAACAGCGTTGTGGCAGCCAGCAGGGCAGGCTCAGGGCAGGCTCAGGGCTACTGTCTCTGCGTCCAAAGCTCAAGAGAGACAAGAGGGTCCCCGGCTGGGAAGGGTGCAAGAAATTAAAGCAAAGGAGCAGAGAAGAGAGGAAGGGCAGAGGGGAGTGCATGTGCCCGGACAAGCGGCAGGCCCGGCTTGGAACTGCAAAGTTTCAGCTTGGATCTATCATCTCCTGGGCTCTTTTGTCAGGCCTGCCTGCTCGATCGCTAATGCAATGGCCAGAGAAGAAAGAAAGGAGAAAGCAGCTCACTCCCTACCCTCACCTCCTCCATATCGCCCGGGGAAGATCAGCTGAACAGCAGGCTAGTCGGCACAGGCGAGGAAATCTGGAGCCCAAGGCAGCCCCCGGCAGCCCCACTCCCCCACCCCAGTGAGGTGCTAATGTCGGACATCGCAGGCATACCCAGGCCCTGTGCTCCAGCCCTGACATTGGGGGAAAAGAATGAGAACAGCCCCTACACAGAAATGCTCCCACAACCGCAGCCGCCTCCGCACCCCGCCCCCGCCCCACCGCGCTCCAAGGCGCGGTTAACCCTCCACACACCTGCGGAGACCCTAATGGACAGGGGTGCTACAAAGGGTCCTATTGGCAGACGGTCTCGGCTCAGGTTGGCCGTCGGGAGCTGCGCTGGACGCAAAGAGCCAAGCAGACTGGAGAAAGGGGAAGAAGAACAGGTTCTGATCCCCGCAATCCCGAGCTGAACCCCTGGACTGCCCAAGCCCTGGGACCTCAGAGGGCTGTCCCCGCACGGGCAGCGCGGAGGGAGGCCACCTACCTGACTCGGCCGCCGCCGCCTTGGAGTGACCGCCAGCCGGCCACGTGGACGCGCCCCTGAGCCCCACACCGGCCCGGCCGGCGCGCCCCCGCTCCCTCGCCTCGCGCCCCGCGCCCCGCGCGCCGCCGCCCGGTCGCCGCCGCCCACACACTGGGCCGGCCCGCGGCAGCCGGGGCCTTTTAAGTCCGGACCGTACCACCGCGCTGGGCGGGGGCGCCCGAGCGGCAGCAAGCAGGGCCGGGGGGCGCTGCTCACGGAGAACGCAGCGCCAGCCCCCACAGGCCTCCCGGACTCCTCGGCCGAGGAGCCCGTCCCCTCCGCTTGAAGGCCACGTCGACGGGTGCGAGCCTTCCAATCCCCTCACACACAGTTCCCCGCCCGCCGCCTCGGGCAGTCCTGGGACCTGTGCGCGCCCGCGCCACACCCCCTCGGGCCTGGGGCGCGCGGCCGCCGCTCGCGCCGGAGCGTGGCGTGCTCGGGGCCACCTGCTGCCTCGTCGTCCGAGTGCTGGCACGCCCGCTGCGTGCCAGCCCGACCCGCACGTTCCCAGCTTAGGACTCTGCGGTCCGTAACTGCGGCCAGTAACATCCACAGGCTCGGCACACGGACTCGGACTGCTGGCATTTACAACTGGACCCTTCCCCAGCTGACCACGGGAACCCGGTGTCGCGGGCTTTTGCTCCCTTGATTTCTTTCCTCCTTTTTCTGTAAACAGTTTTATTGCTATGCAGTTTGCCTATCACATGTCGCCCACTGGAAATGTATAACTCAATAGCAACCACGTGCGGCCATGCCTAGTATCTAATACTACAACATTACTATCAACGCAAAAAGAAATTGAGAAGCAGTACACCTTCGCTCTCCATGGCTCCTGGCAAGCACTGAATGCAGCTACTGGCTATAAGCTCCTTTGTCCTGCACATCTCAAATAAGTGCAATCACAAACCATGCATGGCCCTTTTGCTGACTGACTTTTCACTTTGTAGTACTTTAAGGTTTATTTATTTTTATCGGAAAGTCCGATACACAGAGAGAGGGAAAGACAAAGATCTTCCGTCCAATGATTCACTTCCCAAGTAGCTGCAACGGCCAGTGCCGCGCCAATCCGAAGCCAGGAGCTTCTTCCAGGTCTCCCACGCGGATGCAGGGTCCCAAGGCTCTGGGCCGTCCTCCACTGCTTTCCCGGGCCACAGGCAGGGAGCTGGATGGGAAGTGGAGCTGCTGGGACTAGAACCGGCACCCATATGGGATCCCAGGTGCATTCAAGGTGAGGACTTTAGCCGCTAGGCCACGGCGCCGGGCCCTCTTTTTCATTTCTTCAATGACACATAGGTCATTCAGTAGCATGTTATTTAACTTCATGGAGTTTTTAGTTTCTTCTTTTCTTCCTGTTACTAATTGTTTTGTGGCTTTTCATTTAAGGGGATGTATCGTAACTGTGTAATGGAGGCTCTCATATCTAGTAGCATGTTATTTAACTTCATGGTGTTGTAAATTTCTGTTTCTCTTCCTGTTGTTGATTTTGTATTGTGGCTTTTCAGTTAAGGGGATATATAGTAACTGTGTAATGAGATCATCATATCCAGCTGTGAGGATACAATACAGTATCCATCTCTACTCCCAAAGATGGACTCCCAATGCAACTGTTAAACTATATCTTGACAATAGGATGCTAGACTCTCTGCCATTGTCTACGTCCACAATGATGGACATATGACTGTGTATGAAGAACTTACATTATAGTAATAATATAGGGGAACTCAGAGGTGGCAGTAGGAAATTCGGGGAGGAGGGTAAGGAAAATCCCAGGGCTTATGGAACTGTATGATAAAATGATAATAATAAAATAAAAAGTAAAAAACAAAATGTGGGCCTGGCGCCGTGGCTTAGCGGCTAAAGTCCTCGCCTTGAATGCGTCTTGGATCCCATATGGGCGCCAGTTCTGGTCCTGACAGCTCCACATCCCATCCAGCCCCTGCCTGTGGCCTGGGAAAGCAGTGGAGGACGGCCCAAAGCCTTGGGACCCTGCACCCATGTGGGAGACCTGGAAGAAGTTCTTGGCTCCTGGCTTCGGATCAGTGCAGATCTGACTGTTGCACCTGCTTTGGGCGTGACTCAATGAATGGAAGATCTTCCTCTGTATATCTGACTTTACAATACAAATAAACTAAATAAATAAATCTACAAAAAGATATATCCTTTTTTACTGGAAAGGCAGATTAACAGAGAGAAGGAGAGACAGAATGATCTTCCTTATACTGCTTTACTCCTGAAATGGCTGCAACGGCTGGAGCTGAGCCAATATGATCCAAAACCAGGAGCTAGGAGCATCTTCTGGATCTCCCACGCGGGTACAGGACTCCAAGGTTTTGGACCACCCTCTGCTGCTTTCTCAGGCCACAGGCAGGGAGCTGGATTTGATGCGGAGTAGCCGGGACATGAGGCAGCACCAGCACGGATCCCGGCACTTGAGGGAGGTGTGACCACTGAGCACTGCAGTGTGCCCCCTGCTCCTGTTTCCTTTTGTCTTTCTTTTTAGATTGAATTTTTTTTTTTTTAACTTTTACACAAGAGAGAAATTGATCTTCTACTCAGGGCTACATCAAGTCAATGCCAAGGGGCCAAACCCTCATCCCATCTCAAGGTCCTGGCTTTTTTTTAAAAAAAAAAAATACGTATTTTTTTATTTGGAAAGGCAGATATACAGAGAGGAGAGACAGAGAGGAAGATCTTCCGTCCGATGATTCACTCCCCAAGTGAGCCCAACGGCCGATACTATGCCGATCTGAAGCCAGGAGCCTCTTCCGGGTCTCCCACGCGGGTGCAGGGTCCCAAGGCTTTGGGCCGTCCTCCACTGCTTTCCCGGGCCACAGGCAGGGAGCTGGATGGGAAGTGGAGCTGCTGGGACTAGAACCGGCACCCATATGGGATCCCAGGTGCATTCAAGGTGAGGACTTTAGCCGCTAGGCCACGGCGCTGGGCCCTCTTTTTCATTTCTTCAATGACACATAGGTCATTCAGTAGCATGTTATTTAACTTCATGGAGTTTTTAGTTTCTTCTTTTCTTCCTGTTACTAATTGTTTTGTGGCTTTTCATTTAAGGGGATGTATCGTAACTGTGTAATGGAGGCTCTCATATCTAGTAGCATGTTATTTAACTTCATGGTGTTGTAAATTTCTGTTTCTCTTCCTGTTGTTGATTTTGTATTGTGGCTTTTCAGTTAAGGGGATATATAGTAACTGTGTAATGAGATCATCATATCCAGCTGTGAGGATACAATACAGTATCCATCTCTACTCCCAAAGATGGACTCCCAATGCAACTGTTAAACTATATCTTGACAATAGGATGCTAGACTCTCTGCCATTGTCTACGTCCACAATGATGGACATATGACTGTGTATGAAGAACTTACATTATAGTAATAATATAGGGGAACTCAGAGGTGGCAGTAGGAAA